GAAATATTACAATTAAAAATAGGGCCTTGGAGCCCTTAGAGAGAGAAAGAAAACTAAAGAGAGAAGGGAGCAAAAACTAGAAAGGAAAATTTAGCAAAATGAGGAATTCTCCAAAAATACAAAGCAAGATGTCTATTTATAGCTACACCACAAACACACACTAAAACACACACATTAAATGAGAAAACTCGCGAGTTAAGTGATTTTCGCGAGCAAAAGTGAGATTTTCGCGGGCAAGGGCTCAACTCGCGAGTGTTTTCTTTGTGGAAGGGGAGGAACTCGCGAGCAGGAGGCATTTTTCGCGGCTTGCGGACTGAGATTCGCGGGCAGCGTTGGAGGAGCACTCGCGAGTTAGCGGCGTTTCGCGGGCTAGGCGTAGGAATTCGCGCCCGCGAGTTTTGGAGGCTGCTGGGTCTCTAGCTCGCGAGTTGAAGGTACGTCGCGAACGGGATTTGGCGCCCGCGGATCCGGAATGCTGCAGAGGCTAGCTTGCTCGCGAGTTGAAGGTAAGTCGCGAACGGGATTTGGCGCCCGCGGATCCGGAGTGCTGCAGAGGTTGCTTGCTCGCGAGTTAAGGCTATCTCGCGGATGGGATTTGGCGAGCGCGGATTTCAGCTCTGCATGTGCATGCTTGCTCGCGAATTTGGAGGGCTCGCGAAATCGTGCTCGCGAGCGCGAAGCTTGAGCTGGACTCTAGAATTTTGCCCCGATAATTATGGTTCGACTTTTAAATGCTCTAATTCCTCGCACACTCATCCAATTGACATGAAATTTTGACCCACGCTTCCCAAATCTCGTTTTCCTCGTCTTGAGATGTGCAAATCAATATCACCATGCACTTAATAAGTATGCTCGGAACGATTCGAAAATGGTTCGCGTGGCTCGGACATGGTTCGGACGGCTCGAAAATGTCTCGAAAACGGCTCGTTTCACCAAGCATAGCAATGATGGACCTATTCAACACAAAAAGACAAGAAAAGTACGCCGAACCACAAAAACGCAATACGAGAATAAAAATACACAAAACACGATAAAATGGACCGGTCGACACTAAAACAAACTTAAAATTACTAAACTAAAGCACATAAAACACACGAAAATAAGCACAAAAATACAATAAACAACGTCGGAGATCACAATTTCATTAGCCCCAGGTATTTTAAAATCCTAGCTCCGCCCCTGATGATCAATTTAAGGTTTCAATTTCACATATGGGAGAACAAAGAGAAACAAATTCACACCAAAATTAAATCAAACTCAGATTACAGAACAAAGATACAAACACAAATAATTGAACGAACAAGCCACCACATCTTAATTTATAGAATTCACACACCAGACACACCACATTTCGATTCCTACACAATAAATCAAAATTAATCAATAAGCCGTTCAAGTTCAGCCGTCCGTTACCTCGGACTCACTCTCAGTCCCGCTGACTTGCCGGCTGCTGCCCGCCGCTCGATATATAACAACCAGCAATAAATTTTATTATCAATGTAAGGATCCATAGCATTTTCATTTCTCCATATACGACTACTTCTCATCAAAAGAATTCATACTTTAGCACCAAATCTCAATGGGAGTGTGACAAATCAGGTCACTAGATTGGGAAGAAGAGCATATGTAAAAAAAGTTGGTTCAATCTCCTTTTTTTTTTTCATCTGATGCAACATGATCACACAGAGCATGGTACAACTTCAATCAAAAAAAAAAAAAAGGCTACATATTTTTAACCATTCAATAAAAACTACACACGAAATCATGATTGTGATCCAATCTAGTGTTCTTCATTTACTACTTTTTCACCCAACTATTTGAACAGGAAATATTGACAAGTAAACAACACTCCCATCAGACATCAAACTGATACATAGAAAAATTCATGTGCAGCCTTTCTCTTATATACGAAAGATCATAAACAACAGCAACAAACTCAACTGATTCAATGGCAAGGATTAACAAGTACAGTCTAGTGTTCTCAGTCCAGGACCATAGACACTCAATACAATGTAGCAACACTCTCCATCAACAAAGAAACTTTTAAAATCCCATCAGAGTCCTCAAAACAGCAGCAAGCTCAAGCAATCATCTATATCTAACTCTTTAATTTAATAAATAATCAGTCCAATTGAACAAAAATTCAAAATAATCAAGTGAATGAAGAAGAGGCCCAATTTCAATTTCAATTTTAATTTCAATGTCATAATCTTCAAAATAAAAACAAAATGTTACCTTTGGAGTCGACGAGCAGGAGTTTTCTGGTAGAGAGACCGAGGAGCAGACACTTTGGGGATGTCGAGAGCTGGGCGAGAGGCGAGAGACGAGAGCCGAGGAATCGGAGGATGTTCTTATAATTGAGGCTGAGGTGGAGCCGTGGAGGCGGCGCAGTTCCTACTCTCGCCGTGTTGTGTTGGGCCGTGGAGTTGCAATGGAGGCTGGGTGGAGAGGCTCTGAGGCTCTGAGAGAGATGACGAAGAGAATAAGAGAAGTGAATTGGGGTTTGTCTGCTGGCTTTCGATTTTACTTCTCTTTTTTTCTTTTTTGTTTTTTTAATTTTCGGCTTATAACATTTATAGTCCCGAATAGGGTCCGCAATTTAAGTTGTTGCTGTAAATAAACAGTGTAGGCTATTCTAGAACTCTGCAAAATTTTAAGCGCTATTGCGCGCTATGTCGCGCGCGAAAAAACGCTTTTAAAAACAGTACTGGTTTTATGTGAGAACTAAGAAGCGTTTGTTGAGTGTGTGAGAAGAGAAGTGATCGTCCCATCATTTTTTTATTATTATTTTGTGGGCTTTGTTGTTGTCTTGGGCTCCAAATATGCTGAAAGTAGACATAAAATATCATTGTATATGAATCCATCTAAATAATATATAAACCGAAAAATATAATTGTGCGAATAAATTAAGTGTATAAAAATACACTGTTAAATATATAAAACATGCACATTTTCGACCTATCAATTGGAGATACTCTTAAATGGAGAGAGATTTAGTGGAAAGATGATGTGAATGAGTGAAAGTTTTATTTTTTTGATTCAATGAAATAATTTTGTGTTATAAAGAGTATGCACTAATATATAACATTCAGAAAATATTTAATGACTTTATATGTTGTTTGAGATAATTACCCCTCACATGGTTCCTTTTGATTTTATTTCCCATAAAACGAGTAATTATTTTTTATTCCCTAACCTTATCTTGTACATTTATATTCCATATAAATCTAATAAATATCTACCGCACCAATTAATCAATCATATCCCTCCTCATTTCTCTTGAATTTTCCTTCACCCTTTTGACAATCTCTAAAAAATTCCATCCACTATTTCTCTTCCAAAATCCAAGATCCTAAAAAACCCAAGATCCAAATGATAAACTAAGCAAACCGAACAAGATCTGCCGCACCCACATCATAGTTATAGGTATATGAACTGTTTTTATTTTGTTTATTTGTGGTTCCATAATTAGTGTGTTCCTTTAATTTGTGGTATCGTGAAGGATTGCAGCCGCAATTTTCGTTTTCAGATAGATAGTCGTTTTTCTGGTATTAGAAATTTTAGATACCGGACAATTTTGTGATAAAAGATTATGTCTCGTCCAAATAGAATTTCTTTAAGTTATATTCGCCTATGCGTCCTCAAGCCGGTATGTTTTGTTTCCATTTATCATGGGACAAGGTTGGGAAAAATACATAACTACACAAGTTATAAAAAACAATTTCATAAAAGGAACAGGCTATACTGAATTCCAAAAATGCTTGAATAGGAAGTTACATCATTTCAAAATTCAACTGCTCTCTTTCTCTTTCTCTCTCTTAGTTCTCACTCTTACATCTCGTTTCATTCTTTTCTCTCTTTTTTTTCCTTTTATTCATCATCTTCATCTTCTCCTGAAAAAAAAAAAAAAAATTAATTGATCATATATATACACATAACAATTAAATTAACTAAAAATCAAGAAAAATTTGTAAAAATTAAATAAACAAATAATGATTATAAAATAGAATACATACATACAGATTATATTCATTCAAGAAATTAGATGAATACGAAGAAATAAAAAATCTTCGATGTAACGACAAAGCAATAAAATAATAACAGTTAAGCAACAAGAAAACAACAGTCAAGCAATATGTAAAAAATTATTACCCAGTTACAATTTCACATTGTTATGATAATATTAGTTATTGTTATTTTTAATTGCTTGATTCAAAATACTAAAAATAAGATAACATCTATAAACTCTTTTTCGTTGTTGGAGATGAAAAACAAAAAAGATTTCAATTTCATTGATTGAACTAGTCATCTCCATTTCCAATTCAATGTGAATTTTTAAGAAATTATTAAAACTTGTGTGGCTAATAAAATTAAAACAAAAACCTCTTTCTCAAGCATGTGAATTGGGGGAAATCTCATCATAATCATCATCAACATCTTCACACTTTGAAATTAGGCGTGGCCGAAGCATTCACAGTCGGAATTTGCCGGCGGCACATGTCCTGAAGGAGGTGGTCGAAGAAAGCGGGGGACCGTGACGATGGATCTACTTCTCTCCAAATATTTGGAATGTGGATTTTGGAGAAAATATTTGGGATGAAAAAAAAATTCGATGAAATTAAAACTAAAAAAGTTAAGTGATAAATCTTAAAAGAAAAAATATAGGAGAAGATGAAATTAAAAAGGGGTAGGTAGGTTATGAGAAAGAAGAAGAGATATATATATGAGGAGGATAAAACGTTCTGCGGTTATTAAAAAGTAAAGAAGCCAGATTTTTTAAAACATAAAAGAGTCCACAAAAGGAGTATAATTGAAAACAGAAAAGGCAATTGCATCTAAATAATAAGAGGGAGCAATTATATAAACTCTCTAAGCAAATAGATAAGAGGTGTCATTATTTCGACAAGGTTTCAGTCATATAGATGGCCCATATCGAACACGTATTTATTAAATAAATGGGCCGAAGTAACTAATCAACACTGACGGACCCATCCGGCCACCTATCTGTACACTGATCAATAATGAGCTCAATATATCCCCTTCATTAATTTTCCACACAAGGGAGACTTGAAACGGACCAATGAAAAGAAAACAAAACCTTCACACACGCATAATAAAACCGCCTTTAAATATATTTATTCGCCATAAAAAGGTCTTTCTTTACTTTTTTCATTTATTTATTTCCTTATATATATATATATGAAAAATGTTACGATCCCGTTACGGTATCATCCGTTGGGTGTTTTAACCGTTGAGAGCAGACTAACATATAAATTAGTTTTGGGTTGGAAGATTTTGTCCGGACAAATAAGAACGGATTAAAGCAAGAGACTGTTTAGGCTTATTGAGAGGCACCAAATGACCCGCGCCTCTCACCGTCACTAACGTCACCCCTTCATACTCTACTATTCTTCCTGCTACCTGCATGCATTCATGCATCTCCACATAATTAATAAACAACCATTCAAAATTATTAATGAAAACCTTTACCGGTCGAATGTTATCAAACTCCGAAACTATGTTTGGATAATCGAAACTGTAGTTACTTATAATGTTTTGGCTATATGTCTCGAAAACGAAAAGATTGAAAGAAAAGAGCTTTTTTGAGTAATGCCCCAAGTATAGTTTTTCAAAAATGTTTTCTTATAACAATTCAAATTTATCTTTGAAAAAATCCATCCAGTCTTTTTATTAAAATAATAAGTAAGTGGGCGTTGCAACAGTGATATCAGAGCAGGTTTATGGTTTTTTTCTTAAAATCAACTAAATCGCTCATATATAAATATATTATTAGGAAATGGTGATCAGCTTATTTCGACCGACTCTTTTTTACGCGTATTTTTTTTTTAATGTATATAATTATAATGTATTTTTTTTTTATTTTTTTTCATGTTTAGATGAATTACCTGGTGATCATAAAACCAAGTGGTCCATGGAGTCTTGAGAGGTAATTTAAGAGCTTCAACGCAGTATCTCGAGCCTATAACAGGGACTCTACCATCTGCATCACCACTATATACAATCCAATCCAAACACCAAAATAACAATAATATAATTAATCACATTTTATAAATGAAATCAAAATTACTATTTGATCTCGTATATATCCGTTTTCTTTATTATTATTCGTATAGGTAAATGTTACAGTCCTGTTAAGGAACCGTTCCGTCGGAATTTATAACCGTTAGATCATTGTGTAATCTAACGGTTACAAACATCGACAGAATGGTTCTGTAATGGGACCGTATCATAGTATTTACCTGTAAATCCAAATTTTTAGGCCTGCTTTGACGAGTTTCTCGTATACGGGCAAGATGGAAAAGACAGTGTAGTTGTACCTTCTAAACAGAGTATCACTGCACCCAAAAACAATTGCTTAGTCAAATTAAGATTAAACTAATTACAATTAATTAATTAATTTTAATAGTACTAATTAATTAACAAGATGAAATTAATTAAAATAAAAAAAAAAATGGCTTACTTGCATACTTTCCATTCCACAGTATCACTAAGCCCTCTCGATTTTACGTGCAATGCACGTTGAACTTCAATCCTATTGAAATAGGCTTCAGTGTATTGTGAATAGCATGGATCATAACCTCCGGGGATTAATCGATTGAACCTTCTCAACATGTCATATTGTGTCTGAAAAACAAATAAATTAAGCTAGAAATTACTTGTAATGTTGCAATTTGGTACAACAATTCTAGGCTAATAAATCGTGTTTTTAGTCCTACTGGAATAACGCCGTAAAAATTTTAGTCCCTAGATTCTAATATTCCGTCTTCTGGTCCTAGTGATTTAATATTTTGTTGTCATTTCAGTCATTTGAGGACTGAAGTTGCGACAAATTCCTAAATTCGTAGACTTTAGATTAGCAATTTAAGTTCTATAATGTAAAATTTTGTTGCAATTTTCACTCGTCAAAGTACTAGGACTTATCAAAATGCGCATTTTTTGCCAGCAATTCGCAATGATAGGCTCTCGCGCGATTCATGTGAAATTGATCAATTCCGAACAAATTTGAATCAAAATTATGCTATAGAAAAGTAACTAATGTTGGACATATAATTTTGCATTTTTTGCCGGCGATATAAAAGTTATTGAACCAAAATTGCAATTTTCCAAAGGAAAAATAAAATCGAGTAATTAACTGATAGTAATAATGCACCTTAGCGTTCGACAAATTGTTATATTCATCGGCGTGAGATTGTGATGTTTTGTTGTTGTTAGTAAGGCACGAAGGAGCATAAATGTTATAGATGTCAATCTCCTTGTACTGCTTCCAAACTGCATTTGTGGCTTTATTACATTCTCGAGACCAGTTGTCGAACCTGAAATCGCATGCTCGTCTAATGTTATCATACTGTTCGTCTGATATAACTGAATGGCTCCATGCATACTCGACTATCCCTTTAGAATCGAAATAATCGTTCGTCTCAGGGTTCCCTACCTGCAACCCCCCATTAAATCAATTATTTCTAGATGATGACTACTTAATTATTTTATATGAAATTTAAAGTAATTAGACCAAAGTGTTGATTTATTTTTTTTAATTTGATGAACCATTTAAAACATACTATATATCCTTTGAGGTTGATGTATGGATATACGGTCGTCATCCTGTTCCGGTCGTACACAAGTTCGGCTAGCTGAGGCACATAATGACCTATATAATATAAACAAAAGAAGAAATTGAATGCTGATAATATATTTAAAATAATAATAATAATAATAATAATAATAATAATAATAATTATAATAAAAATTGCAGATTATTTATTTATTTATTTATAGTTAAATTATGCTCTTATAATTATTAATCTTTATAATAACCTGCATAACTCTCCCCTGAGATGTAAAAGTCATGACTCTTGAATTGTGGGAATCTCTCAAGCCATTTAACCAAAAAGTTGTAGGCATCCACAGCTGGACAAAGATTAAAAAATATATTTAAAAAAAAATATATATATATGTTAAATAAGTATAAAAAATATTTTAATAAATTAGGCAATTTAAATTTACTCATTCATATATAAATGGCTTAGGGAAAATATATAGTATATTTTACCTATAAATGAATCATTTAAGTCATAGAAATCATCAGAGGTATTGGTATATGAGAACCCAACTCCTATTGGAGACTCCAAAAACAGCAAATTGGCTTCTGCAAGACAAATTCTTGAATTTGAACATGGTACTTAATAATTTGTTAGAATAATCTAATCCATTGTTATGATAAATAAATAGGCAAAAATATAATCAATATCTTGTACGCAGCGACGATAATAGCCAGCATCGTTACGAATTTGCAATAGTAGCCAACAATCCTTTAAATTTTCGGGTTATTAATCAAATTCGTCCAAATTTCACGGCTGAATTGTAAAATATTATAGCCAGTATTCTTTTACACTTTGATGATAATAGCCGTCGAATTTGGTCGGACATGGGTTATAACCTCGAAATTTTAAAATTTATTGGCTACTATTGTCAATTCATAAAGATTGTGGCTATTATTGTCACTACTTACAAAATATTGAGTATATTTTGCAATTAAACTTAAATAAATAAATATACAACAATTCTTTTTATATGATATTTTATTCTCCAATTTTCTAGCTGTAATGTGGCAGGCCTAAAGCAAATTTTAATGTCAAGTGGACTATAATAAACTTAAATAATGATGCAAAAAAAAAAAAAA